TTAGTAATAGTAAATTATTATTATTATTTATTATTATTATTATTATTTGTGTTGGACACATCAGATATTTTTAATTCAAACATCATAAAGTGTATAACGGAATATGAAGGTTGAAATAATAGGCAATAAAAAAGATTAAGAGCATATATTTAAAAATCAAAACTATAAATAAATATTAGGTATATTATAAAAATATTTATATCTATTAACACACGTGTACGAGAATTACAATAAAAGAATTTTTTCCAATAATTTATTAAACATAAAAATATTGTTCGTAAACAATGTTCAATAGATTACTAAACGATATAATTACCTACTACAAATAGAAATCAAGCTAATACTTAGGTACATTTGCACTACCAGTCGTTAAAAAATAAGTGAAGCTTAATTTTTATCGTAAAACTGTCTTAAGCTTCGATTATTTTTTAATGACTAGGAGTACAAAGAAAAGAAGCTTAAAATAACTTTTTTAATGAAAAAAATGCATTGCTTATTTCTTAACGACTAGCAGTCTACTTAATTAAAGAACATAGGTATATTTAATAAAAAATAATGATTGTGAATTTTTGTGGTTTATAAAAAAATATAGTTAGTAATAGGTAAGTATTTGAAAATAAAATTTAGGTTGTAATAAAAAGTACTTAGTTACTTATATGCTTTCTAATTCTGCATTTTCTTTTTCTGCAACAGAGGCTTCAGATCATTACTGAAAAATTAAAAATTTTAAATAACCCACAAGTGCAGGGTTCTTTACCTTTTAGTTTCATCTGCTTCTGGGGTCTCAGTAAGTCCTGATGGCAATGCACCTGGAATTAATCCAGTTGTTTTTCCACATCCAGTCTTTGACATCATTATCATCATCTGAATTAGGGCGTGGTTCAAAGCCCACTTGTACTGAAGCTTTAGGCTTATTGTACCCCTCACAGTTTCTATCCCATCAGATTGATTTTCTTGATGAATTCAAGAATATGTCTGATGGGCGCTTTCGCGATTTCTTCAGGTTCCGGATATTGTACCCCGAAGTACCATTCCCGTTCCCATTTAAGGTTCCGGCAGTGGCATAGTATGTGAATAGGAGTTTCGTCCTCCTCTTCACATATTCTGCATAGGGAGTCATCAGATATTAGGAGTTTCGTCCTCCTCTTCACATATTCTGCATAGGGAGTCATCAGATATCCCTAAGATATTTAGGTGTCTTCTAAGGCCGCAGTGTCCCGTAAGGAGTCCTATTACGGCCTTGAGTTCGCTTCTGCTAAGGTTTAGCAGTTGATGCTCGTGGATGGCCCCTCTATGAATCTTTTGGTCTGTCTAAGTGCAGGAAGTTCTATCCAGAGCCTATGGTGTTCTCTTTTTATTTGTTCCTTTAACACCCATTTAACATGTTGGTATGAGATACCACATGTGGGTTCTGGTCCAATAAGAGTTATTTCCGCTTCCTTCCTTGCTAGGAGGTCTGCTTTCTCGTTTCCAAACACTCCCTCATGTCCTGGCACCCATTCAAGGGTAACCTTGTTATGTTCTACCAGAGCCTGGAGGGATTGTTGGCAATCAAATATTGATTTAGAAGTCTTTGACATAAACATATGTCCAGAAAAAATGATTGGAACATAAAACATCACTATTTGAAATGTTTTTTGGACTAAGTTTCAATATACTATTTCATCAAATGCGTTTTTCGGCAGAATTAGTTAGAAACCTACAAAAAAAATTTATTGTTTTAACATCTTCAACATTATCATGATAAAATTAGTTAAAAACGAAAAGCTTGTTAATATTGAAAAATTGTGATTATTTTTTTAACTTTTTAGTAGAGTCCAAAATCTAAAACAATATTCCTCATACATAATACAAGTTCTTTAAATTTAATTCACTAAATTTACCATTTATTTTAAACTCATGTTTAACGGCCTTTTGCATAAAATGTAGGTACTTATGTTTCTTTTAAAAAAATGGTAGATACGCTAATGGTTACTTACGTGTGGAATGACCTTGACGATGCCTTTTCGTATTTATATTTAAAACTTACACAAACTCTCACCATTGTTAAAATTTGTATCACTAATAAAATACAAAAAATCACTTATAAACTACAAAAATAAGCTAGAAATTAATGAAAGTCAAAAATCAAATGACAGTTCTGACAATTTCGAACTATTTGACATGCCAAGCAAAACGAAACAGACCAATGGGAATGATGGACACTATTTTTCCCCCTGTACCAAAACAAAGTCCATTTGGACGATGACTCTAGTAATATATGCTCGAAGATTGTAGTACATAAAAAAACGTATTTTATACCAAAGTGAATTCGTATAAATATACTACAAGTATAAATCTAATATAGACGTATAGTAAAAACGTTTAATTATAGGTGGATAAATTTTTAGTAATCGACGTTTATAAGGCGGACATTTTCACGAATATATTTGGTAGTACATCAACCGTATTCATACGTATGGTAGTACCTAAAAAAATACGTAACTTATACCAAAGTGTGCTGCCTGGGAAATCGATCCCACGGGAACCCTACATTTTTTTGGGATAAAAAGTAGCCTATGTGCTATTCCAGGCTATAATCTATATTTGTGCCAAATTTCATCCAGATCTGTTCGGCCGTTCTTGCGTGATTGAGCAACAAACATCCATCCATACATCAAAACTTTCGCATTTATATAATTATATGATATATTATATGATTAAAAAATCACAGCGCTAATTTTGTTTTCCCTTAAAGTTTTCCCGAAAATAACATTCAAATATATCTTGATATACAGGGTGTTCCGAAATTAGACGGTCATATTTTAACAGCGTAATCTACATCCTAAAGTAGGAGTAAAAGTTCATATAAATATAGGTCCAAAAACATTTCTTTTTCGAGATACAGGGTGTTAAAAGTAAAGTTCTGATGACACACTTTTGTAAATTTTTCTAAACGTTTAAAGATAACTAAGTGAAATTTGGTACAAATGCTTACCTTTTTACGCTCTATTTAATGGACTAAACCCCAGTTCTTGATCATCTTCATAGGTGGGTAAATTAGGGGGGCTTAGGGTAAAATTGCCCTAAGTTTTTTTGTTGTTGTCAGTTTTTAACATTTTTGACTATAACATTTGGAAAACCAGTTTTCTTTATAATAAAGCAACTTTTGTTGCATCTCGCTAGGACGCACCATTTTCAAGAGAAAAGCATTTGAAAATTTCATGATAAGTTGATGTTATCTTCTTCGAAAGGGTAAACAATAATTAGTAGGCCTGTGAAATCAGAAATTTTATTTTTTTTCAGCTTTGGAAAACCGGTGACTAAAAAATTTTAGAAAATATTTACAAAAATGTGCCATCAGGACTTCACTTGTAACACACCCTGTATCTCGAAAACGAAATGTTTTCGGACCTATGTTTATATGAACTTTTACTTCTATTTTAGGATGTAGATTACGCTGTTAAAATATGACCGTCTAATTTCGGGACACCCTGTATAACCTTAAAAGTAAATATTTTCTTCTTCTTCTTAACATCGCACAAAAACATCTATCCACGACTAGTAGGTAAAAATCATTAAAAATATGAATACATTTTTGCTGATTTAAAAATTTATTTGTATGCCTATTGCTGTGATTCATTTTTACAGGTTGCCATAGAAACGACAAAAGAACTACTATGATTATGGTTTAAAAGAATTGTCTAACAAGAGTTTATAATTATTATTGACTATCTCTGCAAATGGTTAATACAAACACATGGTTTAAACGGTAAGTAAAAATATTAATAATTCAGGTTTAAAAGCTAGGTTCACAATGAATTAGGATTGTAATTTTCAGGGAAAACATAATTGTCGCTGTCATGTCTTATGTGAAATTTTGAATATTAAATAAATTTTTTTAACCACTTTGCTCAGGAAAGGGATTGGCACAGATGCAATTTGGTAAAGTACCTACAATGTTATTACATGCCTTTGGAGCACATTTCATTTCGTTATCAGATGACGGTCGAAATTTGCAGTCATAGCGAAATACTATAACCAAATACAATATATGACAACCTTCAAACATTCAAACAGAAGTCTTCTGCGCATCTGAATTTGTATCCTTGGAGTGGATGTTATTTTGGAACATCCAGTTGGTCCAAGTGAGCTAACTGATTCTTTAGCTATAAACTGTGGTGGCGTACTGAGTTGCCATGTGAATGGTCAAGATTCAAATCTAGGATTGAAGACTAATCGAGTTAAATTTTTTTTAAGAACAAACTGGACCTCTCGCGAAATCAAAAGTTTTAGGAATTTTTTAATATAAAATTGTATTTATATGGGCGCCACTGGAAATACTTCGTGATATTATGTGCCTTAAGAATATTGAGAGCTTTAAATTTGAGCAACGACGAGGCAGCACTCTACAGAGATGTTTAAGAAAAAAAGGTGGGGAATCCTCCCATTTAAAAACTATTAGATATTTATTAAAACAAAAAGCAACTAATTTTCATAGAATTAATAAAGAATGGTGCGTATGTTTTTTTTTTAATTCATTTTAAAAATTTTCAAAATACTTTTTTTTCGAAAATTTACAAAAAAAAAGTTTCGCCATCATAAGTTTTGTTATCGTTGGTTGTTGTTTCCTGAAAATTTCACCAAATTTGGACTAAAAATAAAGGCCCAAAAGAAATTATAAATTTTCAAGGTGTTTAGTTTGCTCTCAAATAAAATGAAAACTTTATCAATTTTGTTTGTAGAAAAATATTGTATGATACCTACATAAGTGTTATAAAAGTGATGCCACTATTATTTTATTAATTAGCAAAAGTCATAAATTATTTTTAAATTAGTTATTTTATCTTAAAAAAGTGTGGTTTTAAAGTGACTAGCGAATTAAGAGCCCTAAAAATAGTATATTTTAATGTCGAACCCCATAGAAAAACCGCAATTTTTATAAAAATGGCGTTCAAGATGGAAGACACCCTTAGATATACCAGTCCTGTTAAAAAGTTATTTTGGATGTGTAATCTAACCTTTAGAAGTTCTTCATTAATCGTATCATCAAATTTATGTTTAATATTCTGGGCATGCTCGTTTCTTCCTTTAATTAGAGAAATCTCCTTTTTTAAGTTTTCACTTTTAAGTAATAATTCTATTTTTTCTTGATAGCTGTAAGTCTGGTTTCTTTTTCTTTTATTCAATAATTCTACTCGGGACTCCAATTGATTCTTCATTAGAGCAAGTTTATTATAAACCGAGTTGAAATGGTCTCTTTCAGTTTCTAATCCAACTAGTTCATCCTCGTCGCTTCTCTCTAAAGTTGCCAAATCGTTTCTTAGTTTGTTTCTTTTAGCTTTTATCGCCTAAAACATAATTAAATGTAAACGTTCAAATTTAAGGTTTTATTCATAGCTTAAAGCAAATATTTCTAATTAATTATTTAAGGGATAATCCATTAGTGAGTCAAGATTATGTGGCACCCGTATAACCAAATTTACAGTTCATCAAATTTCTAGAGGCTTTCGACGGCTAGACAGAGAAAGCACTACTGACAGGCATCCCGACGGATTTGCGCAATGAAAGTACACTCTGCGCATCAAGTATTTCACTATTTCATTCAGACGTAAATGTCAGATGTAAATTTCGCTAAAACATTTCTTTTATTTTCGTTTGTGTTTTTTGCTCATTACAGTTTAATAGAACCTAAGTATGGAGTTTAATAGCAAATTAGGAGGCCGCGTGATTAACAGTCAATCTCGCGAAATAATAGCCAATGTTATAGAGTTTATGAGAAGAGAAGGAAACTTTAATTCACCTTCAATACCATTTAAAAATGTAAATGATCGTGTTGCTGCAGCCACAGGAGTATCTAAAAACACTGTCGTCCGCATTTCTGGAGAGAAAAAAAGAATCGATAACCGTGAGATATCGGAATTTTCATCACCAAGAAAAACCATTAAAAAACCAAAAACAGTTAATGATATAGATGAAGTTGCACAAGAATCAAATTTAATTTTTTTATTATTAGATAGCTATTTTTGTTTCTGAGTTGTGTTCATTTACAAGCTCAATTTTTTTCCGTTTCTCCTTTTTGATTTTATATGGGGTTTCAAGTTGTTTTTGACTTATTTCGACGTAAATCACAACAACACACTTTTTTAATAAAGCAAACAAGTGTTAAGAGGTATATGTACGTGTAAACTACAATTACAAAAAATTGATATGAAACCCATGAAACCACCAACAAAAATGTAAAGCTAGCTTCCGTACTAGAACATGGTGTCATTCGTCGAGATAATTTATCGTTTTGTTTAATAGATCAAAAAATGTAAATATTCCCCTGTTATTTTTTATAAAATTATAAGAGAAATAAATTTTTTTCTAAATAGTATAGTTTATTATTTTGTAGAAAAACAAAATTTCGAAAATTTTAGTAATGTTTCAGAAACAACCGTTATTAATAATAGGTACCATTTTCCTTAATAAGGTAGAAATAAAATATAAACTATTTCCACGATTTACAAAGGCCTACAAAAAAATTATAGGTATATTCCGCTATCCTATAAAATTTATATTTTCTGACTCAATTTCAAAAGGTTGAAGGAATTCCAAAACACCTTTTATGGCATAATAATTATTTTTAATTCTACATACTATCTTTAGCTGCTTTTAAAAACATTCTAAGAAAGTCCAATCAGACCAATTTAATCCCTAAACTATTCCACACTTTTAAAATTTAATTACCTAAAAATATTAAAAACTATTTAAAATAACTTGTTTAGCAGACTGTACAATAGCTATCTTAGTCACACGTAGCGCGTTCTCTGTCTGGGCGTCGAACACCTCTAGAAATTTGATGAACTGTAACGTACTCATTTTGTGTTTAGTACTAATTAGTTGACTACCAATAGGTACAAAAACCTTTAGTTCCTAGTTTTGTGCTTTTTAAACACTTTGATGACTTCGTCTCATTCTCAGGCATAACTAAAAACTCGTTTCATTAATTTTGAACAACTATATTTTGTGTTTGGAAATCGAAGATATATGTAATTATTATAATCATGTATCCCTTTACCATAAGGTACATTATTTTACACATAAATTTTTGGAAATTCAGAAACAAATACCCAGAAGTGAAAAACAAACCAATGAAAATTAAAAAAAAAGTCCACATTCTGGGAGGTATGTTTAATATTGTATTTAAAAAACGTTGCCAAATTGTGCTATATAACTGTTTCAATTTTTACAAAGCTGCATATTTGCCGTAGTGAATGGCATCATTATTAGGAAATTGTGGTTGTTTAAAAAAAAAATGTTTTTAAAGTAAGCCTTGGAAAAAATCACACATGTCAGAGATTGCAATTCTTCTTTTCTAAATTACGCCCAAGCGGCTTCATACGTCCTTGGCAGGAGGTTTGCCAAGGAGAAACTAGACATCGCTTTTATCCAGGAACCCTGGATTTCCAGCAACGGCCGGATAAGCGGCCTTGAAAACTGTTCGGGTAAGTTGGTAGCCGGTAACTCTCCGGACAAACCAAGAGCATGCCTTCTTATCAGAAATAATATAAAAAAATTATGTTAACAGGTTACTGCACCTCCGATGTGGTTGCAGCCCAGGTCTCGATCCCAGTGGAGAACAACAGCAAGGATTTAGTAGTCTGCTCTGCTTACTTCCCGGGAGACTCAGGTCAAGACCAACCCCCTCCTCCAGCGAAAGTGCGAGAACAAGTTGCCTATTGCAAGAGGAACAACAAGCAGCTCGTTATTGGGTGCGACGCTAACGCCCACCACAGAGGGACTGGGGAAGTACTGTAAAAAGTCTCAGGTTAGTTATTTTGAAGAAACTACCAATTATAAGTGTATATTTAAAATCATTAATATATTGTAGGGCTGCTAGATCTTGCTATGGTGATGAAGCTATTGGCTATGTCCAGCTAAAGAGAGAAGATGATGTTGTTGTCGTGAAGGGACGTATTACTCCTGAATACGGAGTTAGGTTAAAACTATATGAAGTTTCTATCAAAATAGACACGAAAATCGAAAAAAAAATTAAAATCTATTTGTAAGGACTGCACAGCTTCTCTTGGTATTTGTCATAGTATTAGATTGTATTAGAATATTCGAATCTGTTGATTGAACACAGTTTTTGAGATTAATATTTCTGCATTTCTAATGTCCGGCTTTCAAGCAATTATTACATTTTTAATTAAAAATTTTAACAACTTTTATTTTAATGAATATCACAATTAACCTAAATTTTAACTCAACAATTCGATGTTATCGATTGTTACAGACCATATCAAGTGACCGAGTAGACACTCCATATTGATTATGCCTGTAACGTCAAGATCACGAGGGCCAGCCTCTGGTGGTATGACATCAAGCCCGCAAAATTTAAATAAGAGGGTGGTTTTACAGTTAAGGGTTGATGTTAAAAAATAATAAGGTAGTATAAGCGGTAAATCAAGACCTTATACACTCAAATATCAATTAAAAAAAAAGTATTAAAATTGTCCATTATTATATTTTGACCAAATTTATATGAGACCACCCCTGAAGTACCCCCTTTCTAACAAAAAAAGAATTATTGAAATCGGACACGGTGTTGAAGAATTATCGCTGAACATACATAAAAAAAAAATATCGCGACGAATTGAGAACCTTCTCCTTTTTTGAAGTCGTTTAAAAATGCCCTTATTATTGCCTATCAGGATAACTGCCCACCAAAGTAGAGAAGAGACCTGAGGGGTACTCCATGGTGGAGCAGAAGCCTCGACCAAAAAAGAAAAGAAGTTCGACATCTCTTCAATCGAGTGAAATAATTTGGCTGTTGGGAAAACTACCGCAAATCTCTAACGGAGTACAACAAGGCGATTAGAAAGGCCAAACGAGAATCGTGGAGGAAGTTCTGTAAGAGTATATCAGATTTACCTGCAAGTACCAGACTTCACAAGATTCTCGCCAAAGATCCGAGACAGGAAGTCGGCTCGATAAAAAGACCCGACAACACCTACACGGACTCTAGTAAGGAAACTTTAGAGATTCTTTTACAGAAACACTTCCCAGGCAGTCGAATCCTGGAGGACAGGCAACATGTACTCCTTCCTTTAACGGAATCGATTATACGACCCAAAAAGGAGGACTAGAACTTTGTTGCACAAATTGTCTCTCCAAACGCCGTGAAATGGGCGATGAATTTATTCTTCCCCTTCAAATCACGCGGAGGGGATGGAATTTTTCCCGCCCTTTTATAAAAAGGACAGGAACTCCTGCTACCCCTCCTTGTAAGGTTGTTTAGAGCAAGCCTGGCGTGGAGGTATATCCCACTAGGATGGACGTTGGCGAAAGTCGTGTATATACACAAGGCTGGTAGAGTAGATACCTCCCTACCAAACTCTTATCGTACAATCTGCCTAACATCATTTCTTCTAAAAAACGAGAGGATTCTAGATAGGCATATTAGAGAAGGAGGTCTTCGGGCAAACCCGTTAAACTCCTCTCAATATGCCTACCAAGCAGGTAAATCGACAGATCATGCCCTGCACAATCTAGTAGGCAAATTCGGCCATTCCCTAAATCACGGGGAGATTGCGCTAGGTGCCTTCCTAGATATAGAAGGAGCGTTCAACAACGCCCTTACTCAGTCTTTGTTCCCTTCTATTGAAAGAAGAGGAATCGACAAACTAACTTGTAATTGGATCAAAAGCATGCTGGCAAACCGGAATATCACTTCATCACTGCAGGGAGAGACTGTCACTTTCAGGCCTGCCAGAGGATGTCCACAAGGCGGCGTACTTTCACCCCTATTGTGGACTATTCTGGTGGATAATCTGCTAGACGATCTCTCCCGACAGAGGGTGGATTTCCAATGCTATGCGGACGATCTGGTTATCATAATTAGGGGAAAGTTCGAAGAGGTGATCTCTAACATCCTTCAACAAGCCCTTAATACGATGAACAGATGGTCCGAGAGGGAGCAGATGTATGTTAACCCCCGCAAAACTGTTATTGTCCCCTTCACAAAGAGAAGAAAGCTCGAGAAGCTTCGACAACCTACCTTGGCTGGGAAAACCATTCCTTTTGCGGAGGAGGTGAAATATCTGGGAATCACCCTAGATAAGAAACTCACCTGGAACCCCCAATTGGATAAAACCATTAACAAAGCCAGATTATCCCTCTGGACTCTCAGAAGAACATGCGGCAAAGCATGGGGGATCAGTCCTCAACTGATCTATTGGATTTACCAAACAGTGGTAAAACCCATGATTACGTACGGCTCTGTCGTCTGGTGGGACAAGGGAGCAAAGGGAGCAAGAGAGCAAAGCTGGCTGGAATACAGCGGCTTGCGTGCCTCGCCATACGG